TGGGGGAAAGCTCTGGGGGAGAGCTCTGGGGGAGAGCTCTGGGGGAGAGCTCTGGGGGAGAGCTCTGGAGGGAAGCTCTGGGGGAGAGCTTCGGGGGAGAGCTCTGGGGGAGAGCTCTGGGGAGAAGCCCTGGGGGAGCTCTGGGGGAGAGCCCTGGGGGAGAGCTCTGGGGAGAGCTCTGGGGGAAAGCTCTGGGGGGGAGCTCTGGGGGGGAGCTCTGGGGGAGAAGTTGAGCGGTATCCGCGAGCATCCGGCCGAGGGTTAGGGGTTATCATTGTGCAAGCGAAGCACCGCCTCGGGCCGGCAGGCCTATGGTCGCGGTGAGCTTGACTTGCAGCTCGCTCTCACTAGCAGATCCTTACAGGCGTGGCGGTGCGCGCCCCCAGGTCCGCGCCTGCAGTTTAGGGTTTAGGGTTTAGGGTTTAGGGTCCACCAGGAAAGCGTGTAGAAAAACACATGGATGTCGATGACACACTGCCGCGGTGCTCAAACCCCACCCACCCTGGATTCCCATTACATACATCGGCAAACACCACTCGATGGAGGAACATTAAACTACGATGCGTCATCGAGTTGGCACGCGCGTACCCTAACGTTCGGGTAGGTCGGGTCGGGCGGACCCTAACGGCGGGTCGAGTCGGGCGGGCGGGCCCTAACGGGCGGGTCGATTTCGTCGTCGTCGTCGTCGTTGTCGTCGTTTTCGTCGTCGCTTTCGTCGTCGGCGTCGCTTTCGTCGTCGCCGTCGTCGTCGTCGGTCCCAGCGCGCTGGGCAGGGCCTGGGAGCGCTTGGGAGCGCCTGGGAGCGCCTGGGAGCGCCTGGGAGCGCCTGGGAGCGATTGGGAACGCCTGGGACCGCCTGGGAGCGCCAGGCCAGGCCAGGCCCGCTCGTGACACCCCTCCCCGCTCAGCCCGGGGTGAGCGCTGGGCAGGGCCTGGGAGCGCCTGGGAGCGCCTGGGAGCGCCGGGGAACGCCTGGGAGCGACTGGGAACGCCTGGGACCGCTTGGGCGCGCCAGGCCAAGCCAGGCCCGCTCGTGACACCCCTACCCGCTCAGCCCGGGGTGAGCGCTGGGCAGGGCCTGGGGGCGCCTGGGAGCGCTTGGGAGCGCCTGGGAGCGCCTGGGAGCGACTGGGAACGCCTGGGACCGCCTGGGAGCGCCAAGCCAGGCCAGGCCCGCTCGTGCGCCTGGGACCGCCTCGGAGTGCTTCTGGAACGCCTGGGAGCGCCTGGGAGCGCTTGCGAGCGCGTGGAAACGCTTGGGAGCGCTTGGGATCGCCTGGGAGCAGACCGCCGGCGCGCCTAAGTACGGAGCGCGTGTGTCGCCGAAGGTGTTTTGCGTGCGCGCGCGCTCTGTCGTGGCAGTTTTTGCGAATCGACGCTCCCAAGCGATACGATTCGATAGGGATGGTAGAAGTTTAGGAATTGGCCGCCGCGGCCCGAGGTGCGCCGCATGGTACGATTCGATAGGGATGGTGGAGGTTTAGGAATTGGTCGCCGCGGCCCGAGGTGCGCCGCATGGTATGATTCGATAGGGATGGTGGAGGTTTAGGAATTAGCCGCCGCGGCCCGATGTGCGCCGCATGGTATGATTTGATAGGGAAAGTCGCAACAGATGCCGCGCGCGCCGAGGCGCATGTGCGCCGCATTGTATTTTTTTGCAAGGGATCGCAGAGGGCGGACACCGCGGAGATACATCCCAGAAGAATTGGTTTACCATTTAAATTAATAATGCTTTAGGTTGTTTAGGGTTTAGGGTTTAGGGTTTAGGGTTTAGGGCTTCTCGGGCGCGCAGCGGCCGACAGTCCAGGCAAGGCTGCCCCCCCTTCGGCAAGCTTGATTGGGGGGGCGTTTAGCCGACCCGATCAAGCTTGGCGAAGGGCGCCAGAGCTGCAACCACTTCCCACCCCCGGCCGCAGGGCCGGCGACCTCCCAAACTAAAGCCTTTTAGGGTTTAGGGCCGCTGGCCCCTAAATTCCCAGTGCGCTCCCAGGCGCTCCCAGGCGCTCCCAGGCGCTCCCAGGCGCTCCCAGGCGCTCCCCGGCGCTTCCAGGCGCTCCCAAGCGCTTCCAAGCGCTCCCAGGCGCCCCCAAGCGCTGCGCTCCCCGGCGATCCCAAGCGCCCCCAAGCGCTCCCAAGCGCTCCCAGGCGCTCCCAAGCGCTTCCCGCACGTTCCCAGGCGCTCCCAAGCGCTCCCAGGCGCTCCCAGGCGCTCCCAGACGCTCCCAGGCGCTCCCAGGCGCTCCCACATGCGCCCAGAGGCGCTCGGAGCGCTCCACACGTGTTTTTACGTGTCGGAGAAGCATAGGAGCGAATTTCAGGTCAAAAGTCTTTGGGTTTAGGGTGTTATATTCTTCGAGGATCAAGGGGAAGTTTATTTTTGAATCGCGACTCCCAGGGGGCAGCCTACGGCTGCATGGGCGACCCAGTCTGGCAACCAGCTGGCGCTTCTCAGAGATGCCCTGTCTCTCGTAGACGGCGACGGTGATGCGCGGTGGGTGGGCAGAAGCACAACGAGGTGCTTGGGAATTTAGGGTTTAGGGTTTAGGGTTTAGGGTTTAGGGTTTAGGGTTTAGGGTTTAGGGCTTCTCGGGCGCGCAGCGGCCGACAGTCAAGGCAATGCTGCCCCCCCTTCGGCAAGCTTGATTGGGGGGGCGGTTAGCCGACCCGAGCAAGCTTGACGAAGGGGGCAGGAGGTGCAACATCTTCCCACCCCCGGCCGCATGGCCGGCAACCTCCCAAACTAAAGCCTTTTAGGGTTTAGGGCCGTTGGCCCCTAAATTCCCAAATGCGTTTCAAGCGCTCCCAGGCGCTCTCAGGCGCTCCCAAGCGCTCCCAGGCGCTCTCAGTCAAGCGCTCCCATGCGCTCCCCGGCGCTGCCAAGCGCTCCCGGCGCGTTCCGAAGCGCTCCCTGGCAATCCCAAGGCGCTCCCAGGCGTTCCCAGGCTCCCCAGGCGCTCCCGGCGCGTTCCCAAGCGCTCCCGGGCGCTCCCAGACGCAGCCAAGCGCTCCTTGGCGCTCCCAAGCCCTCAAGCGCTCCCGGCACGCTCCCAGGCGCTCCCGGGCGCTCCCAGGCGCTCCCAGGCGCTCCCAGGCGCTCCCAGGCGCGCAGCGGTTTGCCGGCCAACGACGTGTCGTACCTTGGGGCCCATGTTACGCTGGCGACGCCAGAACCGCGCCTGCGCGCTCTTTTTCGATGCACAGGCGCGCTGGCGAGCGCATATGGCGATTGACGTAAACTTACCCAGGGCCTCAATCTCAGAAGCGATCATGGTGGGCCACGACAAAGGGGACCAGCTCGCCGGACGCTCCGCGGCTCGCGCGCGCGCGAGGTTCCCGCGCTGACACCACGTCGTCCCAGAGTCTCCGGGGGTCGTTCGCGCGTTGGGGGACGCCCGACCGGGCGACCTTTTCCGATTCTCGCAGGAGCGATTCTGCGCGGTGGCGCACGCGCAGCGCGTTGTCTCGGATGGGGGGAGGGGGAGCTCGAGGGGGCGGGCCTGGCGCCCCCTCGATGCGACGCACCAGGCAGCGCGTCGCGTGCGTCAGCCGGCCGGCCGGCCGGCAAGGTTGACGCAACGCTAGCCCCAGGCAAGTGGAAAAGCACGAAGTGGCCTACAGTTGGCTCCGGGCATTCAAAATGTGGCCCGGGAATGGAGTTTTGGGAAATCGAAGAGCACGAAGTGGCCTACAGTTGGCTCCGGGCATCCAAAATGTGGCCCGGGAATGGAGTTCTGGGAAATCGAAGAGCACGAAGTGGCCTACAGTTGGCTCCGGGCATCCAAAATGTGGCCCGGGAATGGAGTTTTGGGCAGGCGCCCCCAGGCGCACCCGGGCGCTTCGAAGAAAAGGTTTTTGGGTTTAGGGTGTTATATTCGTTGAGGATCAGGGGAGGTTTATCATTGAAGCGCGAATCCCCAAAAGAGGGATGAAAAATTCAAAAGAAAGGCAAATCGAAGAGCCAGACGCATTTCAAATGCATTTCGGACATCCTCTTGATGCCTCTTGGTGATCTCTGGGGAACATCGGCGCCTCTTGGCGTTGTCTGGGCGCGGCACTCTAGGAGCTGTAAAAACGTTTTGGGCCGTCTTGGAAGAGATTGATGAACAAAGGCAGGTTCCCAACGAATACTTCGGGGCCATATGTTTCGCGAGAATATGCAACGAATTTGCATTATTTACATATTTTGAGCTCGACACATGCACTGCAACGTGCCGTCGATCCAAAATTAAGATTGCGAATGCAATTGTGCCCGTGCCGTCCAAATGAACACCTTGTGTAATACCCTCTTACGATCCAAATTTTCGCGCGTGTCTCCTCGTATATTCCCGTTCATCCGCCATTGCCTGTTGTTTTTGGTTCGGGATATATATATATATATATATATATATATATATATATATACTCCGGAAAACCCCACATGTTTGGGAGCATGGTTCAAAAATTAACGCGACGCAGACTAAGGCAATTATGGCATTTGGTTTGTGATTGTCTGTTCTTCCTTTTTTTTCCTTCTGTTAGGCGCGCATTTGGCGTGCCCAGGCCAATTTAAACCTGATTTGCGCGTTTTTGGGACGCCAAAGAAATCGCCTTCGGGCCCCAACGTTGATTCATTTCAGGTTTCGGAGCATTGGTTTTTCGAGGGTACTCACTACAGGAACACCCACCCCCACCCCCGATGCAGGGACCTGGGCCCCCAGGCCCACGGCCCCCTCACTGTTTGCCAACCACATCATTTCATCATCATGTATGTGTGCACGTGTGTATCATGAATATTGTTGTAGCTGTAATGCACACCTAGTATATCCGTACACTTATATGGGCACATGGTAATAGGATACCGCATCAAAGTAGTAGTACTGTAGTAGAACAGTAGTAGCACAATAGTAGCGTCAAGTAGTTGATTAGCAGTAGGGAGGAGGAGGAGGAGGAGGAGGAGGCCTCCTCCTCCTCCTCTGCCTCCTCCACACTCGTCGTCGTCCATTGCCCGGGGCCCTTTCGGCCTCAAGGGTGGTTCAGCTTTTTGTTTTCCCCCCTTTTTCAGAGTCGCCTCGCGAGATGTCGGCGGGCTCGAAGGCGGCCGCGCCTGGACCTGCCGCCAAGGCGGTCGCCAAGGCCAAAGGGGCGGCCCGCAAGCGGGTCTCCGCGGAGGTCAGGTTGTTGTGCGATCTGCTGCACGACAAGGACGCTTGGGCAAGCGTTTCGTTTTGGGGGGTCCCACCCCTGCCCTACCCCACTGGCCTTCCTCCCGCCCCCCCCCCCGCTCCGCCGCCTCTCGCTTCCCCCCCCCCAGGACGTGGAGACACACACCGTGGCCGAGGAGGTGATGAAGAACCGCTGCAAGAGCCTCAAGTTCATCGTCGACGAGCTCCTGAAGGACGCGTTTAGAGCAAGCGGGGGGGGGGGGGGGCAGTATTCAGCGGGGAGGGGAGGGCTAAGATGATGATGAGGACGAGGATGGGGGCGGGAGGATGAGGGCGAGGGTGAGGGCCAGGGCGGTGACGATGACGAACACGACGTGGACGTTGATGATGTTGATGAGGGCCAGGATGAGGAGCGAGGGCGAGGACGAGAAGGAGGGCGAGGGCGAGGTTTATGGCCGATCCCTCCTCCCCATTCTTCTTCCATTGTGCCCCCAGCGCCAGCCCTCGGCCTTTGTACCGTTCCCCGCCCCCGCCCCCCGCTCCTCCGTCGCCTTCGTCCTCATAACAATCTTCGCTCTCTCGCCTCCTCGACTGCGCCCTCATCCCCCCTGCCCGCAGGAGCCTGCGAAGATCCAGGACATCGAGGTGCGCGTTTCCAAGCCGATCGAGGAGCTACAGGAGACGCCCGCCAAGCGCGGCAGGAAGCAGAAGACGGCTACTGAGTTGACAAACTCGCCTACGCTCGAGTTGAAAGTTGCCACCCTTGGGGATGTTCCTCCAGCGTGGCTTTTTGCATTGATAAATAAGCATGCTGACGTCAAGGCTACTCCTCGGCAGGTCGCCATTCTGTGCGAGGGGGGCGTGCTGATCACCAGGAAGATCGTGACTTATCTGACTGGTTCCTAGGGTGGTCAAATGGGGGGGATTGCGGGGGAGGGGGAGTGGGTGGTGAGGGATTCAGTGGGTATGGAGATGGGAAGGGATGGTCGCAGAGTAAGGGCGAGGAGAGGATGAGGTCGAGAAGAGGACGAGGACAAGGAGTGCAAGGTTGAGGAGCGAGAGCGAAGACGGGGAGGAGGAGGAGCGGGGACGAGGATGGCGAGTGAAGACGAGGATGAGGAGCGATGATTCGGATTATGACAAAGATGATGGGGATGAATGAGGATGGGGGTGAGGATGCGGAGCGAGGGCGGTGGTGAGGACGACGATGCTGATGATGCGGACGACGATGCGGACGAGGACGAGGATGAGGAAGAGGAAGGGGGCGATGATCTATGATGAGGATGACGAGGAGTGCGAGGGCGACGGCTTGATAATGCCGAGGGTGGGGTTGTGGACGAGGATGACGAGAGAGGAGCGAGGCTGATTGCGAGGGCGAGGGCGGCGATGAGGATGACGAGGCGGATGAGGAGGTGGTTGGCACGACTGCGGCATACGACCACGGCGATGACGACCACGATCGACGCGCGACGGTCGACGACGACGACGACGTCGACGACGACGGTTCGCCCAGGTTTGCCCGCCTCGTTCCCGCTGGGCGCCGACATGCGGCACAAGGGGACCCTCGCGCGCTTCCTCACGGAGCAGATCCTGGCGCGGAAGTTGCTGAACGCTCATGGGGGCTTCTTCGCGGACGCTTGGAAGGACAACACCATTAAGTTCGAGCCCCCGCACGCGGTCTTCCAGCACATCCCCCCCGCGGAGGATGGCAGCGGAGACGCGGCGATGGGGGATGATCAGGATTCCCCTCCTCATCCTCCCTCCTCCTCCTCCTCATCCTTCCCTTCCTACTTCCCTGCCATCCCTTCTTCCTTCATCTCCTCTCCCTGCTGATGATGCTGCCGCTGCTGCTGGTCTTCAGTTTCCTGCCTCCCTCCCCCTCGTCTTCGTCTTTCATGTCCTATTATGTTCCTCCTCCTCGCTCATCTTCCCTCATCCCCCTTCCCTCCTTGCTAACGTTTCCCCTATCCCACTTCCCGCTCCTCGGCGGTTTCGACCGCGGCCGCGGCCTCGACGACGACGACGACGTCGACGACGACGAAGACGAAGGCGATGGCGACGGCGGCGTCGACGACGACGACGACGACGACAACGGTGCGAAGTAACGGGCGAACGAACGAACGAATGAACGACGAACGACGGCGGCGGCGGCGACGGCGACGGCGACGCGCGGCTCAGGGCAGCATCAAGAACCTCATCACAAGGACTACCCGCTCTCAGAGAGCCTCTCTGCAGGATTGTGTTTCCCCTCGTTTATTGTGGGAGGGCATTCGATCTGGGAGGTGGGCAGAGAGAGTTCGGGGGAGGAGGGAGGGAGGGAGGGAGGAGGGGAGGGAGGGAGGAGGCCCAGACTGGATGAGGAGCGGGGGGGAGGGAGGAGGATCGACGCTTGCTGTTTCTTGGCTCCTTGGGTTTCCCCTGGTTTCGACAACGCGCTGCGGTGGTGGAGGGGGGTTGGGATCCGAGGGGGAGGAGGCGTGGTGGGAGGGGGGGAGGAAGGACGGAGGAACGGGAAGGAGGATGCCTCCCAGCCGTCATGCCTCCCGGCCGCCCCCGAGGAAAGGTCATCGAGGACAACTACTCAGAGCACGACGCGCACGTCGTGATCATGGGCACGAAGCTCCCCGTCAAGGGGCTCTACAAGGCGGCGGGGGAGAAGGCGCAGAGCTCCAACGCCGCCGCGAGGAGCTTGAAGGAGGACTTCATCGAGAAAGCCGCGAAGGACAAGGATCAGGCCTTCGTCCAGGTCGACGACCAGATGGCCGAGTCCGCCCGCCGCAAGCGCGCCCGTCCTCGCGGCGCCTTGGTGGTGCCCCTCACGAACAGTTAGGTTTGCTCCTCGATTTTGTTTATTGGGCCATCTTTGGTAGGTATCCCGAGGTGAGGGCTTCGGAGTCTGGGCTGTGATCTGGGATCGAGTTTCATTCCTGGAGTGTCTCCGAGGCGCCCCCCGCCAGATTTGATCAGGGGGCGGACCAGAGCTTGCAGTAGCGAGGTTGGGGCTAAGAGCTCGCCCGCGCCTTTATATCTCATGATAGGGGGCCACTGCTCAGGGGGTGTGCACACGCGTCGTTCGGAACGACACGTGTGGATCCTGATACCATTCCAGATTCTTTGTTCTTGAACGGTTTCGGGCGATTTGCATTGGAGCAACGGGACATCGTTGGATGATAGCATGCCCCCGTGTTCTCATCGCAGTTATTTGGGCATTGCATTTAGCCTTAGATGCGTTCCCCACGGGCATGGCCACGTAGTTGCGATTCGACCGATCATTCGAACTGCAGGGAGCAACGACGCGAGTGCACACGGGCAGTAGGCCGACTGGCGCTAGAGCTCACCTCGTTCCGCAGGAATTCCCGCGCAGTTTGCTGTCGACGGCGACGTGTCGCTTTCGCCCCGCTCGACGTTCTGAAGAGCGCAGCTCTGCTTGCAAAAAACATGCGTCCCAGATCAGCTTGGTCACGACTCGTCCTTCGAGCTGTGTTCGTCCGTCCCCCCGTCCCGTTTTATTTTTACCTTCGAGGACTTGCTCGGGGCAGTTGGGTTCTCAGACTTCGGTTGGGCACTTCGCGGAGACGGTTCCAAGAGATGTTCAAGGCCCAGACGCGTCCAGGTGTGAAGTTAGGAGTCCTTCGGCTCACCCGCAGGGGGGGGGGGGCAGGTGGGGTTTCTGGTTTCTGGGGGCGGGGCTTTTGAGAGGGGGGGGGCTGTAGGATGGAGGGGGTAGAAGGAGGGGGTGTAAACGTATGGGGGGGGGGGGGGGGGGGGGGGGGGGGGGGGGGGGGGGGGGGGGGGGGGGGGGGGGGAGATCCAACTAAAGGAGTGTGGTTTCGAACATGCCAACACCGTAACTAGCATTTTGCTTCTCAGACGGGCCCTGTCTATTATGTCGGCCCTCCGAGCTGATAAGGATTGTTTCGTGCTCCATCTCGACGAGCCAAGGCCAGGCCATGTAGTGCAGATCATCGAGCGTCACGGCACGCACGAGACCACGTCCCTTTCACCTGACAAGGATCCCCAACGTTTCATTGCCACAAACGCCTTGCACCATTCAAGACCACCGCTTTTATTTTACAAGCCCCCAGCCTCTCGAATAACTCGGTCGTTAGGGGGGTCCGTGTGCGCGAAATGGCTCGGCACCCGCAGGAGTGGGCTCTCGTCAACGTCAGTGAAGACGGCAACGACTTGGCACTCCTTGTGCCCGCGCGGGATCTCTATGCAGGTGGAGATGGGGAGGTGGATGGCGACTGCGCTCAGAACTTTATGTCGGCAGCGGTGTACGGTCCTCCTTTCAGCGACATGAACAGTCAGCACATCGTCACGGCTTCAGGAGAAAGGCTCCCTGGCAGCCAGATCCAGGAGAGGCACCAGCTAGGATCTTTCACCATCGTCCCCACGACCCCAGGGCATCCAGGTGTGATTGTTCAAGGTGCATGCTTCGAGCACAACTTCTGGGGTGGACATCTCTTTCTCGACTTTTGCGATCTTGCGAAGCAGCTGGGGCTGCTGGCGGCGCACGAGAGCGGATCGGAGTGGTTCCATAAGCGTCGGCAGCGATGGGCGTCCATGGCCGCTAAGTTTGGAATGTCTACCTTCCATTTGAGGCAATCTCAGCCATACGGGGGTGGCGTCATTTCTGGGCAGCGCTACAGGGTATTGCTCTTCCCCTCGGTGAGCATCTTTTTCCTCCTCGTCTTCGCCATGCGGAGCTCCACCTCGAAGACCTGTCGCCACGGCGGGCTCAAGGATGGTACGAGCTCCGCGGCGATGCTCAGGGTCTACCACTCCCTCATGGACATGCTTCCGCAGTCGTTCACGATCGACATCCGCATGGACGTCCACGCCACCAAGGTGAGCGGCGTTAGGGGTCTGGGCATAGTGAGAGGACGGGGGCGATGACGAGGACGACTTCACGAGGATGAGGATGATGACGATGACGAGGATTGTGATTAGGACTAGGCGGGGGACGAGGACGATGACGAGTATGATGAGGAAGATGAGGAGGAAGATGGGTACGATGATGGGGGCGGTGATGGCCACAACGACGGGGCTGGTGACGAGGGCGACGCGGATTGCGGTGCTCATGAGAAAGACGAGGAGAAGGAGGAGGAGGAGGGAGATGATGAGGACGAGGGTGGTGATGGGGAATAGGACGAGACAGCGACAGACGACGACGATCCGTGACCGACGACCGACGGCCGATCATCGCTCAGGTCGGTGACACCTTTTTCGTCGGCAAGTGCCCCGCGAGACTGGTGATTCAGAACGGGGTCGTTGATGTGCATGACATCAAGAGCGCGTATGACGGCAATCGAGGTTTCCCAGGTGATTCAGTTCGAGTGGCAGAAGAGGTGGCTTCTTAACCTCCAGGGCTTGTCCATCGTAGACTTCTACGCTGAGCTCCACGCGGGGGCCGTGCAGGAGAGGGCGCCGCTTCTCGTGTCCATCTTTAAGCAGGCCAGCGCCTTGTTTGTGTTCTCGCCTCTACCATTCCAGTTGGGCCCGATGGCTCGGTGCCTGATCGGTTGAGCGGAGGGCGGGAGGGATTGAGATGAGTTGGAGTGTTTGAGCTTTCCGCGCAGGGGAGGGGTGGGGGATCGGGTGCGGGAGTGGCAGCGGAGAGCGAGGGGGAGTCGTATGATAATGCCAGTTGGCCGCAGGGAGCTGGAGGTGTTTGA